TTACCATTACAGTTCTATGGAGAATTTGTGAGAAGCAAGTGTTTTGCGTGTACGCGCATTGTTTTTTCGGACTTCAAAAATGGTACTTTCGTGCTCCGCATATGGGATGTAATTCCAGATACGTGAAAGGTGGAGGAGTAACATTTCACAGGAGAGCTTTTTCTAATGTTTTTTTAAAACCTAATTTTTATAAAATGTAGAGGTTTTTTTTTATCCACTCTACTTGCCGTTTTCTAATAAAAAATAGATTTTCTAATTTTATATATATATATGCATACTTGAAATAACATTTAAATAAAAGTATCTAAATATATAGTATGTTTCTAATAACTGTGTTCTCTGAAAAAAATGTTTTAAATTTGAGTAATATAATTTTAATTAGTCTAGTATTCTCTGCTTGGCGGCGACATTTTTTATACGCCAACAGACTGCTTTGAATGCGTTTGTTTAAATATATTCTTTGTATGCGTTTTTTGCTTATGCGGACATGTGCGAAGTAGTAATGTATGTATTTAATACTTGGTAATGTTCATGTAACACTGTGTAAGAACTGCATAAAATTATGTTTTTTTTTTTTTTTTTGAGGGGGACATGAATGACTTTATTTTATCCCCTTTTCTTACATCCAAATATAACAAATATGTTTACTTTCAATCACGTATTTTCTTTCTTATATCATGTTTCTGGCATTTATTCAAATATTAAGAATTTGTTAAGTATTAAGAAAGTAGTAATTATATAGCAGTTAAATTTCAAAACTTTAATAGTTTAAAGTTTCTTTTAAAAATAATGAACATTATTTAAATTTTACGTTCTAAAATTATTTAAAATAAGTGCAACTACATTGTGCAACGTGCATAATATATATATATATACATATTTGCTAGTAAAAGGAAGTTTTAATTTACCACTTTTTTGCTTTCATAATTTAGTGATTTACCTCTCTCCTTTCTCTCTTCCTTTTAACTTATATCTGCTATATTGACATTCATTTTTAGTTCATTTAATTTAATTCTTTTCACTTTAATTTGCCTACTCTGTAGTTCTCTGTAATACACCATATTAACATTAAATTTCCTTTTCGTATAAATATTAAATTTCCTTTTTGTACTATTTTCTGTTTTCACTCATTTTTCTTATATTATCTATTTTTTTTTTTTTATTTTTTATTCTGTCCTAAGTACTAAAAAACCTTCTTTTTTTATTTATTATTTTTTTTCCCTGGCCCTTTTTTTTCCTTTTAGGCTTATAATCTTCCTGTTTTATTTAAATCTCTTTTCACTCAAATCATTTCTTAAATTATCTTTGCTCCTTGTTTATGCATTACAATAAGTATATATATATATATATGAATTTTATATTTATTTTTAATTTTTTAATTATTTTATTTTCATCCACTATCTTTATTATGTATTATATACTTTGCCTAAATCACTTTTTATTTATTTATTTTTAAATGAAAAAAACTCTTTTTTTTTATATTTATTTTATTTGTACTTTATTTATTTCTATTACCATTTTTCCGATATGTTGTATTTATTGTACACTGCTTCGTCTCATTCTGTTTTTGTCTTTTTTCTCTTTGTCTACCTTTGTGCTGCTAAGCTAGTATGACTGTTTGTCTGGCTTAAATTTTAAAATAAAGTGTCCAATTTTAGGGAAATTATTAATTTTGGCTGGTGTTTATCGATCTAACCTCTTCTGCAAATTCAACGGCAGCTTCTGTGAAATGACATCTTTCCAAGTTCGCATTTCGAACTGAGAGAAAAGAGGGGAAAAAAAATTGCCAGCCATGGCAATAGTACGCCAAAGTCTGGGTTCAGTTCCATTTCATAGCCAAACTCCTGCAGCTCATCCCTGTGCCACTTTTTCACCCGGTTTTGAATGGCGATGCTCCGTCTAGTATATAACAGGTCTATGGTTCAAGTCCTCTAATTGCTGTGTCGAGAATACCGACTAATTTGTCAATCGAAATTTTTTCGTTTTCAATAACCTCGGTCACTTTCTTCACTATCCGAAGCGAATTATAAATGACGAGGAACTTGATTTAAATCATATCAAAGACGGAGTACATCGAGATGAAATACTACATTTAGTAAGGAATTATAAGCCAAATAAAATAAAAACATCTGCCCTGAAGATAAGGATAGTGCTGACAGATCAACTTCAAATTCATTACGTGCTGCATTGTTTCCCTCCCCCCGCAGAGCAGCATGAAATTGATAAACATATTTCGGAATGATTAGATAATCAAAGGGTATGGCTTTATCTATTTTTTGCAGCAATTCCACTTTCTGTTTAATGGATTTCGAAACATACTTTCGCTTTGTAGATCCTTTACATATTAGTAAATATATATCGGAAATTCTATTTGACATAATCGAAAGTTCAAGTTTACTTTTATAATATTGCTCTAACAGTCTGCAAAAAATAATAAGTCGAATCCAATTCGAAGATTAAGGAACAACGCAATCTGCAACATTAACTGAATTAGATAATTTTAGCTTAGCTTATACCGTCCGTTATACATTAAACGCGCATGTGCACACGCATATTCGCAGCCGTAAAGGTCTTACGCGCACACGTAGACGCCTATGCGCGTGCATCAACGCGACGCATGCGCAGAAAGTTTGTAGCTTTGAGGTCCGGATTATGGGTGTCCGAATTAACGACTTTTGACTGCATCTGTTTTCAGACATTTCTGTTTTTTCTGCTACATTTGCAAATATTAGTTACTAAATATTAGCAAAATGAATATTTTTCTTCCACATATACTATTGATTATCTCTTTTAAAATCTGCTTGTCTTGGAAAATGTTATTCGAAACATTTTTGATAAAAAAAAAAAAAAAAAAAAATTCAAAAATGTTCTGAAAATGAACTCGCATATGTATTTGGACAGTTTGAGAACTACAATGCACATATGTGTGTGTAGATACACAATATATATATACAAGCATACATGAACACATACATCCACATATACATTTCTGAATCTGGCCCCAATAACTGAAGAATACCTTCAATAAAAATATGGAAATAATAAAACATTTAATATTTTTTTCGATATCCTTGAGTGAAAATTACATTTTTCATGCTGTTTCATATAAATTCAACTAATTTTTCATGTAAGAATGTTTCATTCCTCTATAGGAACTGGTTTTATAAAAGCTTTTGAAGAAATAATACATTTCTTTGTTTCTTGGACTCACTCCATATCCATTTGTTGAGACAATATGGAGAAATTTTCATAACTTAAGGACAGTTTTATAATAATTACAAGTAAACATTTAAGGCTGTATGTTTAGGATCATTACTCCGAGAAAAGTTAAATGTATTTTACATTCAGAGTTTTCTTGTAGATGCTTTCAAGATTTCATTAAGATACTTATATTTATGTAGGAAATGGCTAAGTAACTGAATTCAGTTGTCACAAGGCAGCATCTAGATGAGTGTGCAGATGAGTAAGTTGATGATGACGAGTGAACATATACCAATTAGGCTACTTTTGTTACCATTTTCAATTCATGTAAATAAATCTTAGTTTAGTAATAAATTTGATCAGTATTAGCGATGCTTTTTTTACATTTTTACTGATCCATGTTATTTTCTATAAAAATTAAATTTTCCATCCCAGTCGCAACGAAACATTCCCAAACCATCCGTCTTTGCCATAAAGTGATTCATCTATTGGACCCAAATATATTGAATTCTGGCTTGTCTGCAAATATATCATGGATTTTGTGAATGCCAGATGTATTTTCCTTGCTGATGAAGACTTTCCTTCTGGCCAATTGCCTTTTGTATACATATGTCCTAGTGACTCAACAGTTTCAGGTTTAATTTTTACTGCAAACTCTTCTAAATTTTTTGCAAGTTTTACAGCCCCAATTTTTAGGTCTTGTCTGATTTTTTAAAAGATAAATCTCCAACTCCTTGGTGTTAGTTTGGAATGTAGTCCAGACTTCTGTGCATTTTTGCCAGTTCCACACATTTTAATACATCAAAGATAGTTAAATGCTTTACATGAAGAATTTTTTAATATTTTCAACACTTTTGCCATTTTTAAAATGATAAAATTTATAACAAAACTTTTCGTTAATTTGTAGCATCTGATTATATACAATTCAGATATGATAATGTTAACATATTTTGCTAAATAATTAATAATTTCCAAATGCAGATGATGATTCTTGAGATACATTATCATTTAAAAAAAATATGACAAGAAATATCGTCTACCAAAAGATCTCAACAAAACTTTAGAGTGTTTGAATTATTATGCAAATTATTAATTAGCACTTTTCGAATACATTATTGTTACAAGGGAAATTTTAGCACCGAAATTTTGATGATACTTATTTTTCAAAAAGCAAGTCCTACAACAAAGAAAATACAATAGAAAAAGAAAACTTGAAGTCTGTGTTTCAATATTTAGCACACAAGATTTTCAAATGTATTTCAAAAATACAAGTGTCCGGAAATAAATGAGAGCCATTGTAAGTGCATTAACTACAGGAAATTTCAAATATCAGAACTTATTACCACATTTCTATTAGATTTTGTAGCTCTAGCGAAGAATTGGGTGCCCCTTCGATTAGCGACAAATTTTGTAAAATTTTGGCGATGAAATCTTATTTCTGGTTACCATGATAGTGTAAATTTGCTTTAGCTTCCTGAATTTTTAAAAATAAAAATAGATTGATGTGTAGATGGACAAATTTAAACAGTGCGCAATGCCTAGTTTGTGCAATTCTGGGATGTTTTTTTAAGTGAAAACAGATCGATGTGTACATGGACACAGAGTTACGCAATTCTTTGACTTTTTATTTTGGTTTTGTGCAGCTGCTATCTTGAAATTATGTCTTCCTGGCGCCGATCTTGGCATCAAAAAAGAATCGCCAAAAAACAAGGGGCCCCCAATTGTAAACTTTTACCGATTTTGTCAACAAAACAAAAGGAAATTTGATACCCCTTCTAGAGAATAAACAGAAAACTCACAGAGTAAGCCTAACATGATCATCTAACTGCTCTACAGACGGACGTAATAATTCCATTAAACCATCTGCTAATGCATCTCTCGTTGTCGAATCCCCATAGTCGTCTGTTTTATCATCAAGAGAAGTGGTAGTACTCGCTGTATCTTCCATTCTAAGTAGTTGACAGTAAATTTATGAAGTTTAGAAAAATTACATGGATTACTATCCCGACATATCAGCCACTTAAACTTAGCGATATCAACATACTGAACATTGTAGGAGATCTTTAAATTTTAATGACTCGAGTAGAGATGTTTCTTACTGACTCCTTAATCCACTGCGAAATTTGATGTTGCCGAGCGTTCCGTGTTTGAAATCCAAATTCCGCTTAGAATGACATTTTGCTGTTTTCAGATTTAAAAAAAAATTTTTTCTTTTGCATTAACTATTTCACCCAAACTACTTTCTTCATTTCATTTGCTTTATAGGCATAGTTTCTTGTATCTGGAAAGAGGGAAATTAGAAAATATAAAAACTAAATAATGTATTTATATATAAACTCAAGGCCCATCAGCAGCGGAGGGGTAAAGTCGCTGAACACTGGTAGTTTAGCCTCAGGTTCGAATTCCGTGAAAACAGGCTAGCTGCATGGGCCTTTTCGTGATTTTCCCCACGCGTAACGTGTATACGAGCCATTTCGTCTTAGAAAGTCCTCCACGAAGGCATCCTTTCCCTTTGGCAGATAGCCCCCGAGGCTTTGTCGTAATACATAAGCCAAACTATATATACACTGGTGTGAAAAATTAAGAGAATTTGAGGATTATGTCTATTTTTACGAAAAGTATAGAACCAAACGTAATAATTATGCTGCCTAAGAAATTATGCAACTATTTAGTCAAATACTTATGTGTCTATGTGAGTGTCTGTGGAGCTGGGATTGGGAAGGGTATATAAGCTCACGAGTGATTATCGGCGATTGTTGGAAATGAATACAGTTATATCGTTTTATATTTACCTTTTTGGAATGGCAACAGAAATTGTATTGTTTACTTAGAATATTCTCTCTGTCATTCTGTCTCTGTCATCTCTCTGTCTCATGCTAATAAAGATGTGAGTCTGTTCTAACTCCGTTTTCGTATTCTTTTCGTAAAAAAAAAAAAAAAAAAAAAAAAAAAATCTGAAATGTTTCAGATTTTAAATTACGTCCAAAGGGGCGTTTTTTAACATTTTGTGTGTTTATCTTTCTTTATTAAATATCATGTTCCTCGCACTTAAACCATAAGATCCAGTGCAACAGCAATATCGCAAAATAGTTTTAAAACGAGCATATCTTTAGAATTTCCGATACAGAGACTCACGCGCTGGAGATAAAAATGTTTTTTCTGCACAACGTTGCCATTGCTCGCTTTGAAATCCTTGAGTTTGTTAATCAAAAATTCGTCAAAGTTTTAAAAAATAGGAAATCGATCATAAAACAAATTTCAAATTTCAAATTTGGTCTTCCCCATGTTCATATTCGTTGGAGGATTACGTTATTCAAAATTCGATGACTCTATGTACCGTTGTTTTATCACAATACGAGAAATATACATACATTTATGCAGATTTTTCATTATTTAATTTCTTCAAATATAATGCAGGACTCTAACATTTTGTGGCAACAGTTTGAAAAGTGAACCGACATTTATGAGTCCGACGCAAAATACCAAAACGAAACTAATAGTCCTTCGGGATTCAAATCCCTTTGGACTAAAAAAAAAAAAAAAAAAAAAAAAAAAAAACACCTTAGTATATTAAACCCGCGAAGTGGATTTTATTTTATCAGGGCCATTTCGCCACATTTTGGCGCCTGGAATAGGGACTTTTAAATAAAAGTCAGTCATAAATTGAACTACGGTGTTAAGTTTCATTTTTAATTCAAAACTGTGGATTAAGATTATGGATACGACAGAACGAAGAGTTCTTCCGCGATTGTTCACAGTTGAAGCAAATAATTTAGAAGAATTTATCTCCAGTAGAGGGGATAAAACAGAACTGAAAGCAAAATTTGAAGCATTAAAAATAAAATATGAAAGGATTAAGGTGGTTTGTTGACAAATGTCTGCCTATTTGTTCAACATAAGCAAATTTAGCCCTTTATTATCTCATAAAAAAGTGCAGTGCCGTACTGGAAAAGTCTGCTGCTACATAGAATACATCCTCGAAATTCTGCTGATTTAAAAAAAAGCATAGCATACTTTAAATATTTGCCGAATATCACTTTTGTTTTTTTTAGCGTTTTTTCGATTAGTATCAACATTGAAAAATAGAGGGCGCCACAATTCCATTTCTGTGGATAGTCAAATTTTCATTTTGGGGTAATAATTTAATTTTTCTGCATTAAAATGGTTAATATTTTTATCTTAGGAAATGAAGTAAGATTTACAGATTCACAATAACACGTTTCATTCACCAAAATGTTATTTCTACAGCACAAAATGTGCACATACATAGATTATATTCAAATACTTTGCAAACCTAAAAGTTTCGATAACGTCATTGCATCTTTCGCCAAGTAGGAAATTTGGCGAATTTTTTCGCGATTGTGTTGTAGATCGTCTGCAGAGTTGAACAGGTTTCGAATGTATATTACCAACACCTCCTAGAGCTAACTCAAGGCCACGGCGCGTTTCCCAGGAGGAGGTGTGACGTCAGTGTCAGTAGGGATTGCCATTCATTTAAATCTCCCCACCCAGGACTGTGGTGCGCAAAACCTCCTAGAACTAGGAGGTGTTGATATAACCCTCTGCAAAAAGCAATTTAAGAGGAGAAAAAGTTGAAAGCTTTCTTTAGCCAATCAAGATAACAAAACGTTGAACGCTTTCAATAGCCATCTGCAGAATCTGGAAACTATAATGAGTTAGTGCATTCAACGAAAAATTTCTCAAGAGCAATTTTTGGCTCTCCGCTAAATATAATTCAAATGATTAATTATTTGACTAATACTAGTAATAAATATTCAGCTAAGGGTTGTGTGAGAACGTGGAATGATCATTCGATATTTTTTTCAGAGAGCGTTAGGGATATCTCTTAAACTGCCTCAGTTACCAATTTTGAACCATTATCGAAAATCTTGAATGCTGAACTGATATTTACATGGAGTACTTTATAGAACTTAATCATAGAAAAAGAATGCGTTCAAATTATACTCATATTTTTTTAATAATCTCATTTTATATTAGGTTAGCACTTTATTGAAAACATTGAAATTAAGTATAACTAAACCGGATTTAAAATAGTCTTCAAATATTAGGTATAGTGTGTTATTTTATATAAATATTCGTTAAAGTAAATTTTACCATTTCAATATTTCAGTATTTTTTCTTGCATCACGTAGTATAAGTTATTTCATCGCCGGAAGGATGGCATAATTGGAAATTAAGGAACATTTCAGATAAGACGTGAAATTCGGCGAATATTTCGCAGCCGAGGATTTTCACTTACACTTTCTTTCAAAGAATCAGTTAGATAACGACGCATTAAGTTATATTTATTTTCAAACAATCAAGCTTTGCCAGTGTTAATAGAATCGTTACAAGAGATTAAGATCTTGATTTAAGCTGATAGTATAATGTAATACGTTATAACGCCCCACAGATTTTTTTTATTTGGTATCTGTTATCATCATTGGTTTGGTTATTTATTTCATTCTTATATAAAATTTTCTGGTATATGCTAAATTATTGTAAATTACTTTACTCGAAAAAGATTGTGAATGCACAGAAATTAAAGATTTGCCCACGCCGAAAATAAAAAATATTAAATATATATTGGTATTTATGCATATGCTTGCAAAAAGCATGTATCTGCCTTTAACAAAACACGTAAATATTCATTAAATTATTCATAAATGTATTTGGAAATGAAGGATTTATTCATCCATAAACTTCTGTAAAAGTTACTGGGAAGAAATCTAGTTATTAGATGTATCTAAATTTATAATGATTATAAATATTACCTAAATATATAATAACTTAACATTTAATTGTAAACATAAATTTAAATTCTGTTGACAAATACGTTTATAAAACTATTTAAGCAAGAATTGTTCGTACTGGAAAGCAATCTGTTAAAAGGTATTGTAAAGCAAATTCTATGAGATGCGTACTTAAGAAAGCAGTAAAAAACAGTTTTTCGAATATGTATTGTTGAAATAAAGGGTAAAAAAATATCGTAAATATTAAAAGAATTATTTCCTTAGATTCTATAATAAATAACTCAGTTACAAGTTTTAAATAATATTTAGAAAAATAATCCTTCTTTTATTCCCTTTCAGAAATATTTATAGAAAGTTTTTATTAGTCAAGTACATGGAAATCAGCACTAATATTTAATATATTTCACTATTAAAAATAAAAGGTGCTCTAATTTGAAATGAACAGAACTGACCATTAATTATAAAATGACTCAGATTTTCGATTTAATGATGCCTCAGGAGCTAAAAAATCTTCTCATATATGAGAAAGAATTTTAGGAAGAAGCTCTGTAAATAAAAAAGAAATAATGCGTAATTTTAATATTAATAATACAGTAAACTTTGATCTTAAATTTTATAATCTTTAACCGAACAAAATCGAATTTTTTTCTTATTATAATTAATGAAAACTTATGAAAATATTTCATGCAAATTAAACTGTTCTGAGTAAATTGTTCTGGAAAAAGTATAGCATTTAATTTCGTTCAAAATGAAATGTTGCTTAAAAATGCATTCGTTTCACATACTTAGGACTCTGAAATATTATAGAAAAAGAGCTGTATATTTTGTTGTCTACAAAGCAAAGAATCTCTAATCTTCCTTACAGATTCTTTGTACAAAGGGATCGCCACTGCTACAAAGCAGTGAAAGGGGAAAACCGGTTAGGACCCTTTCCCAAAGAAAGTCTATGTCTATACATATTCTTTGCCTCTCCTCTTACTTCCTAACTCCATGGAGGTACCCTAAGGGGATGAAGGGGCAGTTAAGAAAAAAATAGAACTTCTAGAGAAATATTCCGTTTTCAATTTATAATGCACCAATCAGAAGCTACTTTATAACCTGAAATTAGTCCATAGAATATACAGCGATCTCATTTCTTTACATTTTCGTCATCAGATTTTGCATCCTGATTTTTGTTTTATTCTTAGCCTTTATATTTTAGATATTGTATTATTATTACTTCGCGGTTGATCTCTAATTCCAAAATGGATAGGCGTAAAGGTGAATCTAAAAGTAATCGTCGGAGAGTTCATCCACTGTATTCATTAGCTTCAAAAGCTGAAAGAAAGAATA